CGTAATGAACTTGCATGTCATGGGATAATAGACTTGTATTTCTACTTCTAGTTTTCCAGTTTTAGTCATATCGTTCGATTTCTGACTTTGGAAGGTGAAGATTGGGGTCTTTTTGCCCTGTACCCTATTACACCTGAGCCTCATTGCCCACCCCCCACCCCCCCATCTCGTTGTAGTTATGATTTCGGTTCGGTCAGTATTCAGAGTTGACATTATTACATTATTATGTTATTCAGAGCTAAACTCTGGAGTAAATTACGATTACTTTTCCTTTCCTGTGTGTTTTCTTGTTTCCCTTGATTAATGATTACATCCTTAATCCAACTTACTCATCTTGAAAATGTTAATGAGTGCTTACTATATGCCAGGAACTGGGTTAACACACTTTAATAGGCTCATCCTATTTAGCAAGCCAGTTATGTGACCTCCCAGTTCCTCCTTATCTATGAAATTGGAAATGGTACTGAGGCAGGGAGGTTAAGTAAATTTGCCCAAGGTCACTCAGCCAGAAAGTGGTGGAACAGGAATTTGCATCCAGCTGTGTGTGACTTTAGAGCCTGAGGTTTCTGGAATGTCTCTGGCATAGTAGTTGACGTTACATAATGGCATCTGGAAGCAGAGTGGGGAAGATGAGGACTAGCAAAGAACTCCAAAGAGAATGGGAAGAAAAGAGGAAGAGACTTCTGTTTAAGAAAGTCATAATTTAAATGCATGATGAAAACCTACATTCACTTGCAGTTCTCTGCCAGTTAGGTAGAAATATCCTCTTAACGTTTTCATTCCACCAGATATTCTGTGGTTTTCTTAAGGGAAAAATTCCCTCCTGAGCCTTCAGACCTGCTGTCATCTGGCACACAGCTGCCTTCCTAGACGCCCTTTTCCTCTGTTCTGTGTCCCACATTGTCCTCTCTCAGTTTACTCCGTGATTTGGGTGGAGCATGTTCACATCCTTCAGAACCTCCCTGAGCAAGGATGTCTGGGAAGTAAGCTTGTGGAGACTTCGTAGATTTGAAAATGTCTATTTTACTGTCACGATTGGTATCTTGTGCAAAATTGGACCTTGGAATTCATTTTCCTTAAATTTTGAAGGCTTGCTTTCTAGATCTCTTTTGAAGGCTGGATTTCTAGGTCTCTAGATTGTTGAAGTCTGAAGCCATTCTGATGGCTTTTTTCGTTTTATTTTTCTCTCAGGATTCTTATAGGATCTTTGCGGTGTCTCTGATGGTCTGAAATTTTGTGCTGATGTTTCATGGTTTGGATCCTATTTGTATTCCACATATTGGACCCTTTCAATTTGGAAACTTCTAGCTTCAGTTCTGGGTTTTTTTCCCTTGAATATCAGTATTTCTTTGATTATCTCTGCATCTTCCATTATTCTCTCTGGAACTTGCTGTTGGGCGTGTGGGACCTCGGGCACTAACTCTCTGTTTCTTTCTTGATTCGTTCCCATCTCTGTGTTTTGCTTTGTTTGGGGGGAGTTTTTTTCAACTTTACTATCTAATCTTTTGAGTCTTTCATTTTGCTTTCCTGTTTTTAATTTAGTTATAACAGTTTTATTGAGATATAATTCACATACCATAAAATTCATCTTTTTAATGTGTACAGTTCAGTGGTTTTTAGTATATTCACAGTTATGCAACCATTAACCACTATGTGATTGTAAAACGTTCCTTGCGCTCCCACCAAGAAACCCTTTAAGCATTAGCAGTGATTCCCTGTTTTTCCTCCCACCCCCACCTCCCACCCCCTAAGCCCTGGCAGCCACTGATCTACTTTCTGTCTCTGGGTTTGCCTATAATGGACAGTTCATATGAATAGAATCATACAGCATGTAGCCTTTTGTGACTGGCTTCTTTCACTTAGTGTAATGTTTTCAAGGTTTGTCCATGGTGTAGCATGTATCATTCATTCCTTTTCATTGCCAAATAATCATGGTGTATGGCTGTGTGACATTTTGTTTATCCATTCATCAGTTGATATACGTTTAGTATTTCCATTTTTTGGCTAGTGTGAATAATGCTGCTATAAATAAGAGTGTATAAGTTTGGCATGGACATATGTTTTCAGTTCTCTTGGGTATATACGTAGGAGTGGAGTTGCTGGATCATATGGTTAACTCTGTTTAACATTTTGAGGAACTGCCAAACAATTTTCCACAGCAGCTGCACCATTTCATATTCCACCAGCAATGTTTGAGGGTTCCAATTTCTCTGCATCCTCACCATCACTTGTTATTGTCTGTCATTTTGATTTTAGCCATCCTAGTGGGCGTTTATGTTTTTAATTTTTAAGAGCTTTCTTTAAAAATTCCTAAGAGCTCTAAATATTTTTAGATATGGCTTCTTGTTCTTATTTCATGAATATAACATCATTTATATAAGATTATATTAATATTTTTGAAGTTTTGTCAGTTTTTGTTTATTACCGGTTGCTTTGGCTTGTTTTGTTTTGGTCTCTTTCATGTGATGAATTTTTCTCTGATGTTTGGAAATTGTTGATCGTTTGTTCATATTAAGAGCAGAAACTGATATGCTGGCTGGAAATGCTGAGTGTTTGGGGCTTCTGGACCCTGAGCTTCATTGCAGTAGGTCTGGGTGGACCATTTATTGATGGAAGAATATGTCCTGTCAGTACCTTTAGATCTTATCTCTAGGCTAGTCAGATTTCCTCAGAGAAAGTGCTTCTAGTCTCCTGCCTGGAGGCCAAAAGGATTGGCTGCCACTGTCTGGGAGCTTAATGGAGAGAAGGAGGCGGCCAGTCTCCAGTCACTGTGAATTGGTGTACCTGGTCCCTCTGTTTTTGGTTCAGTCCCCCTGCCCCAAGTGTTCACAGTGTCCCAGGCAGAGACTTCTTCAAAAAGCAAACCTCCTTCTGCTGGATGGGGGAGGAGCAATTTCCTGGAGGCATGGCAGAGAGGGGGGAATTGGAGGATTAAATGCTTATCAGAAAGCTTGCAACCAGTTCTCATTTTGGCGCCATCCCTGTTCTCCTGTCTCTCAGAGGAACCGGGAGTCACTGATCCCCAAGTTTGTTGAAGTTTTGCAGTGTGAATTGAGTTTTTTCTCACTTTTCTCCACTGCTGGCTCTCTTGGGTCTGTAAATCAGTGCCCTGAATCTGCTTTCTAGTGTCTATTTGTCTTTTGTCCTGTTCTCATACTTGTGGGTTTTGCCTTTGGGGGAAAAAAAATCTCTTGACTGTAGTTTTAGGGAAGGAGTAAAAGCAGATGCGTTATCTTCTGCTCAGAAATCTGTTGCTCTGTAGATTTTATTTTGTATTTAATGAAAGATTTTTTTTAATGTGGAAAGCCAAATACACTAATGCTATTGAATAGTCCCTTCATTGTTCTTTTGATTTACAATGTTTGGAGTCTCCACTATATACAATAATAAATTTCAGAGTAGTTAAAGATATAAATACACAAAGTAAAGGCATAAAAGTGCTAGAATAACATGTAGAAGAATCCTTTTATTTTAGCATTTTAGGTGGAAGAGAGCCTTCTAAATATATCAGGAAACTAAAATTTCTAAAAAGTGACAGATTTAACTGAATATTTAAAACTTCTGTATGCTATGTGGTTATATTTTAATGATCAGTTGGCAAACATATACATGTATATATTTATAACATGTGATGGGAGGTTACTATCTCTCAAATATTGCAGCCCATAAGGAAAGTGCACCCACACCAATAAGCAAACAATACTGAGTCTATTAATAAAAGAAAAACTATGAATGGCTAGAAGAGAGAAAAAAATTTTTTGATATCACTCATAAAGAAATGTAAATGAGAAAGAAATATGGCTCTAAGATTATCAGAGCTCACAGACTATCACTAATGCAGAGATCCTATTTGGACTTTATCCTAAGGAAAAATAAAAGTGTCTCACGGAGGAACAGGCAAGGACATTCATTGCCTGCTGTTAGCAAAGACTGAAAGGGGCCCAAATGTCCTTCAGTGAAAAATTGGTTGAACTGAGTACATCCAAATATATTTTACATATGCAGTAACAGTTCTGAAAGGATATACACAGAAAGTCAGAGTGATTTTTGATAGGTGGTGAGATGACAAGAGAACCGATACTATTTATATATTTTAATGTGTAAAAATTTTATTTTAACAAATATGTTACACGTATGACTGCAAAGGAAATGCACATGTTACCATAAAGGAAAATGTTACTGTAATTTTCAAAATCATTTGTATTATCTAGAAAAAGACATTTTGGGGATAATCAGTGAAAATTGAGCACAGTCTGGATGTTATTGAATTATTACTTGGGTGTGAAAAGGCTATTGTGGTTATGTTTAAAAATAAGTTCTTATTTCTGAAGTGTTTACCAAGGATAAAAGGAGACATTAAAGGCGAAGTCATTTAAAAGAAAAAAAATCTGCGTGTTTTAAATCTTAGGGACATTGTGAACAGTGTAACTAATGTTGTTTTCCCTCTCAAGTTGATAGCAATAATTTAGAGCCAAATTTGTAGTTGGTCCCTAAAGTTGAGTAATATAGATCCTTATAAAATGAACTTTTCACTTAATCTCCACCTCATTTTAATATTCCTTTTTGTCCTTCCCGTGGTATTTTTTTTATTTTTTGCTATTTTTTATAATTTATGTGTCTTTTTGGGTTATCTTAAATCCTATCAGAAACAATGCAGAGTACAGTGTAGACTGATGATTAACAGTAATCAGTGAACTAAACTAGTGACTTTTTATTGAGCCCTCCCTGTGACTAAGCACACACAGTCAAAGCGTCTCTTCAGATCCTTTGCTATTAAAGGGGCACCAGCATTCAGACAGAGAAAGACATTCAGGGGGAGAGAGCACGGGCTCACAGAGTATGTCTGTGTGTTTATACACTGTAAATAATAGATGTACACACTTCTGTGTTTATGTAATATATTAAACAATAGGTTTGTATTTTATAATGAGTTACAGGAAAAATTGTTTAATTATATGTTATAAAAACAAGTAGCTGACTGTAGCTTTTTTTTCTTTCAGAATTTAAATGAATATGTCGAAGCATTAATTACCTTGAAGCAAAAAATTATTAATACAGAGTGAGTATGTGTTCATGTGTTTGGGCTGAATTTTGTGAACCTGACAAACAAGTTGGAGCAGGTGGTGGTGGTAGACCCCTTTGGCTGAAAGGAGAACTTGAGTTTCTCAGTCTGGTGCCAGTGTGGTGTTGATTATAATGCAGCTTCTTGTGAGCCCTGCCTGCAACATGAACCTTCTCTTATTGGTCCACAGGCCTTTACAATTAAGGCTCATGGGTTGGGAGGTGATTTTTGCTGTTAAAGCTGTTTTCTGTCTTCAGAGCCTTCTTAGCTTTAGGGCTGGACCTCAGATACAGTATTTCATGGCCATGGTGTGAGAGTTAATTGATTTTTTTAAAAATTCTGTGAAAGTCATATGACTTTATAGGCTAAGATATTACTTAAATCAAAGGAATTTTTAAATTAAAAGCTCGTATCAGCACAGTGCTTTTAAGGAATTTAAGGTATATTTACGTGTGTGTGTGTGTATGCATATATATAATTAATTAAGCATAAATTTGTTACAGGAAACCTAGGAAGAAAGGGTGCCCTGCATATTTTGAAACATGATTTTAACATTGTATGTTTTTTAGATATAAACAAGTAACTTCTTTTCTTTGTTGCAGTAATTTGTTAACAGAATATCAGAAGAAATGTGATGATATCCTTTTACTGGCTTTTTCCTTTGAATTTTTGAATTTGCTTATTTATAATTTCTTAAAGAGATGTGAGAATTTCTTTTCATAGTTATATTTTGGAAGGCAATATTTATAGGCTCCATTGGGGGTACTTCTAACAAGCATACTAAACAGCTAGGTTTTACTCTCAATATGTGTTTAATGATAAGTTCTAAAATAAGGAGACTAAGTCTTTATTTTGTTTTTGTTATCGATTTTGATTTTCTTAAGGTCTCATAAGCTTTTTAATGAGTAGGTCTTGCATTTGTACTGAGGACGTGATATATGTTCTTTAGATTTAGGAGGAATGTGAAGCTGAATATGATACCATCAGAATGTCATTTTGGAATTTCTGCAAGAGGGGCACTATAGGAATATTCAGAGTGTGGGAAATTGATTTGTTAATTATTTTTGTGATTTGTAGAGAATTACTGTATATTAATACATTAATATGTTAATATAGTGTAATTTTGTAATCACAGATAGTTCTTGGGCTTATAGTCACCATTTGTTCAGTAACCGTTTAGAGCGCCTGTAGTTAGTTGGCCTCTGATTAAATATTTTCTTGGCAGAGTGAAAATAGTGTGTATAATTTTGATCCTTCCGCATCGTGTGATAATACTTACCTGAATTAAATCTCTCTCATAAAAACATAAATTTCTCCCATAAAAATAAAGACGTATATACTTTTAGAGGTTTACTGAAGTGCAGCTTCAGTGTCAAGATTGGGACAGATTCTGCTATTTAACTTTGTCAGTAACTTGAGGCCTGCTTCAATGTTATTTCTAGGATCCCTGAACTTACACGTGGTCACCAATTCTTTGTGTTGGTACCATCATATCTAATTTGTGTGATTAGAGTAATAAAATCAGGGCAGAGCATTTAGATTTATTTTTAGTATCTGAATTTTTACATTCAAAACTATAGGTTGTTGAAAATTTCTTGTGCTTTAATTGTTGAAACTATCAGTCTGTTTATCTATAAATGTATATTACTGGAAAAGTGGTATCTTTGATTATGAATGTTGTGTAGAAATAATTATTACAACTACTTGTAGTTAGGTAAATAGGGAAATAGGAAATTAATTCCAATATTAGGAGAGCAATGTGTTCATTATATGCTTTTTTGGAAGAAATGGCATAACGTTTTGAGGTAATTACAGGTGACCTAACAGGGAGATTATTGATTTAGTTTTCTAAAATTTGACTACAAAATTTTTTAAATCAAATTATTAAAATAATTTATTAAAAATTGATAAAATTTTAAATTATTCTTGAATTCCCATTCTGTGATGTGATAATGAGCTTCAGCTACACGTAAATATTGATATTTAAAAAAAAAAAACACATTTGCATTTGTCCAAAATGTATATTTGTTGTACCTCAATATGCAGCAGTTTGCCCTACAGCCTGAGGTACCAATGTTGCAGGTTTAATGTGGGTTTCTATAGAACTTGATTCCTTATGTTTTTTGGTAATTCTGACTGCTTTGTTGTTTATCAGTTCCTCTTACTACAGGGCAGAGAGTATATTTTATTTCCTCAGATGTTTTTTGAACTCTTCCTTTATGCAAAGACTGCAGTAATTTATTTTTATTTTTTTAATATTTTTTTTTTTTAATTTTATTATTATTATTTTTCTTTTCCCCCAAAGCCCCAGTAGATAGTTGTATGTCATAGCTGCACATCCTTCTAGTTGCTGTATGTGGGACGCAGCCTCAGCATGGCCGGAGAAGCGGTGCGTTGGTGCGCGCCCGGGATCCGAACCCGGGCCGCCAGCAGCGGAGCGCGCGCACTTAACCGCTAAGCCACGGGGCTGGCCCAAGACTGCAGTAATTTAGAATGAATAAAATGTACTCCTTAATCTTGAGAAGCTTACGTTCTAATGGAGGAGGACACAGATGTGTTGTGACAAACACACATTTGCTATATTGTGATATGAGTAGGAATTTATAGGAGATGAAAGTTAAAGGAATTATTTTTTGCTATTCTGGAACATTTTACTGTCACCATGAGATGGAAAATGAAGTTATCAAATTGTGTAAATTGTAAAGGTGAGGGGTTATCTAGATTTTATGTTTGCCCTGTATTTCTTCTCTCATTACTCATTAAATATAGTTATGTATGGTATTAGTTAAGTACATAACTCTGGTTTGCTGGAATTATGCTCTTATTATTTGAGGAATGAAAGGTTGTTTGGGAATTCAGATATATACCGGATTCAAGGTATTTTCCGTTAGTTGCATATTGCTTTGTCTTTATTCTTGGAATTTAATCACTTATATATTTAACCAATTACCTTTTTAATTTAGAGAAGCAGATATTTGACTTTTGGTACATGTTATGGTAAATAGGAATAACTCGGTAAAAAGCTTTATCACTATGTTACGGATGGAACTTTGATTATTGTTTTCTAGGAATTATGATCTTGCCTGTATACATATAACACGGATTATTCAGATAGTTTTAAAGTGAGTTTTATTTTCAGACAAGTATCAGTAGATAAAATTCTCAGAGTTTTCTTTAACAAGTTTTACAGCTGCAGTTTGCGAGAAGGTAAGCTAACTGTTTTCGTAGTGGATTTGGGGTAGACATTTATCAGACTCGATTTTTAAACAGATTCAAATAAAGCACCACATAGGACTGATCCATTTTTATGGAATGTTGCGTTGATGCTCATAATAAAAGACGATTCACATGTTCCTTACTATTAAATTGTTCAAATGAATGTCTTACTAAGGTCTTAAATCACGGCCTGGTGTTTGACTTGAGTTTTCAGTAACTTTTACTGACCATGTTACCATTGAGATGAAGCTTATTGCTATCAAATTATTGTTGTCTCTGTGAATTGGACTATTTAATGTGGTTGTTGATCTTGTATGTCTTAATCTAAAATAGACACGTAAAAATTTAGCAATGTTTCATACTCTGATTACATATATCACTTAGAAGAAGGCAAAATGTGGTTATAAACTAAATCACAAAATTGCCTATCATTTAATTTGAATAAACAGATGAGTTCAAGATTGGAAGAGCCAAAGTATTTGGCATATTGTCCTTTAATATATTCTCCAGCAGATTGAGAATCTATTGTAGTTCTCAAGTAGCTTTTTGATATAGTTTTATTAGAAATAGATTAAATGCCAAAGAAATAAAAAGCAATATGAAGATTATGTTGGTATAAATAGAATGCATTTAAAAAGAGAGATTGTTTTGCTCCTTTGTTGTTTGTTAGAAATAAAATCGAAAATCACCAGTAGATATATTTAATAATTCACTATAGATACTTTTTTATGCTAATATTAATGCATTGTCCATTTTTAGAGAGAATAGTACTCTGCATCACCAAGTGGAACAGATGCTTCAAAAAATTTCTCCTCTGCAGAAATGTCAGGAAGAACTGGGATCTTTAAAAGCAGAGTTAGAAGAGAAAAAGGTAACTAAAGTAATTTTCCTACAAAAATTTATCTTCAATAAATTAAGATCTGTTTATTTACTGAAATTGGGATAAATGGACTTAACAATGGACTTATCTTAACAAAGATAAATGTCTTAACAAAGGAAATAAATGCTAGTCAAGACTCCTTAAGTGTGTTACTACACTTAGAGGCCATTGAAGTAGTTGATGAATGGCTTGGTCCTTACAGTAATTATTAACTCTGTAATGCTGTGTTAGTTGCTCATGCTTTTTGAGACATTCAGTAGAGACGCCTTCTAGCTGTCAATTTTTATGGCTCTATGTGTCCTGCATTGATTGCTTTTTCACGTTTTTCTTGCTTTTTTTTTTTTTGTGTGAGGAATATCAGCTCTGAGCTAACATCCATGCTAATCCTCCTCTTTTTGCTGAGGAAGACCGGCTCTGAGCTAGCATCTATTGCCAATCCTCCTCCTTTTTTCCCCCAA